AATTTTAAAAAACTTATAATTACTTATTGAACTTTAAAATGGGAGAATCCAAGCATGGGTTAACTTCTGTCCAATTGCCTAGAGACTGAGAAAAAGTTTTGGCCACATCTCCTCTGCTTGACTACTTCCAGTTTTTCAACGAAGGCGTAGACCCTAAAGACACTGATCTTGAAGATGCTGGTCACACCCTGACACTGGACCAAAGTCAAACAGGGTGGGTTGGATTCTCCTGCAGCACACAGAGAACAAGCATTCAGATAAGACCAACGGTCTTTCTCCTGTGCACTGCTTGGAAAATCCAAGCATAGGACATATCCAAGCTTAGTGTCTCAAGGGAGGGAAGCCGACTGGTTCAGGATCTGCTCTGAAGAATGAACCCTCTGTAGCACTCGTCGACCAAACAACGCGCTTCCGGCGAGGCAAATAAGTCCATTATTAGTAATTAGTAATTTCTGACAAGTGGCGATGGTGAAGCCCAGGTAGCTGCCTTGCAAATTTCCTCCAGAGGCCAGAGGCCAAGTCACCAATGTAGCTGCACTGAGAGTTAAATGGACTGTAATATGTCTCAGAACAGGACAAGCTTGGTGCTCGTAAGCCATTGCTATGCAAGCCCTCAGCCAGTGCCCGATGGTAGAGGAGGGGCACCTTTTTTCCCATGGAGGTTGGCTGAAAGGAAATGAAGAGCAATTCTGTCCGTTGGAAGGATGTTGTCCTCTTGATATATCAATGGAGCCCTCTCCGAATATCTAAAGTATACCCCTGCCTTTCAAGGGAGTGGTTGGCTTTCGGGGGAAAATCCGGCAAAACTATCTCTTGTGCCCTGTGAAATCATGAGTTCACCTTCAGGTTGAATGATGGATCTAGACACAGGGTGACTGTGTTGGGCCTGAAAATGCACAGATCCTTCTGACTGACAGGGCCCCTAACACTGAAATCCTCCTAGCCGAAGTCACGGCTATGAGGAAGGCCACCTTAAAAGGGAAGTAGCCAAAGACTGATAGAATGCAGTAGTTCAAACGGTGCTGAGCTGAGCTCATTCAGGACAATGGAAAGGTCCCATGTGGGATAAGGATGCACCATAGGGGGTCTTAGGTTTGCTACATCCTTCAGGAAACTGCACAGCCTCAGATGATGAGAAATGGGATGTCTGTCATCACTGGTCAAAATCATAGACAAAGCAGATGCCTGCCATCTAAGAGTGTTGGGTGCTACCCCTGTGTATCCAATCCTGGGGGAAATCCAGGAGCTGTGGTACAGACACCAAAGATAGGTCAAGGTGTCCACTAGTGCATCACCTGCAGAAGGCGACCCAGGTCGCATTGTAAATCCGGTTGGTTGATTGGTGTCTGGATGCCTGAATAGTCTAGATGACCTTCCCAGAGAACTAGCCCCGCAGAATGTCCCTCTCAAGTGCCCAACAGTCACTGGAGCCACTGGGGATGTGTATGAACCAGTGACCCTTGGCTGAGAGAGACCCTGTCCGGGGGAATTCTTCAGGGCTGTGACGCTGAGAGATTGACGAGGTCTATGTACTAGGAGCGTCTAGGCCAGTGGGGGGGACAACGACAAGGAGAACCTCCACCCACTCAGGAGCACCTTCCTGATAACCCTCGGAATGAGGGGAAGAGGAGGAAAGGCATAGAGGAGCCCCTGAGGCCAAGGCTGCGGAGCGCATTGGCACCCTCTGCCCCTGTGGACTTGCAACAGGCCCACTGTGGGCTGGCTGAACCTTTCCAACAGGCACTGGAACAAGTTTGGATGAAGACGCTATTCTGAGTGATCGATGGTCGATTTTCTCAGCCAGTCCACCAGGATGTTGGCTGTTCCAGAGATATGCTCTGCCTTATGGAGAGGAGATTGCGCTCCATCCAGAGCCCTAGCTTCTCTGCTTCACGCATCTGATGTTATGGTCACTCTGTTGGGTTCCTTGAAGAGACACCCCTTCTCCAGGGAGGTCCACCAGAGGATGGAGCAGAGGACTTTCAGCGGAACCTGAACTGGGGAGTTGGAGCTGCTCCTACCGGAGCTCTGATGCAGTAATAGGAACCATTGTAATGATCTGGTTTGCAATTGTGCCCAATGGATGATTGCAATGCACAAAATCATTTCCCCCAACAGTTGGGAAAGAAGAATCAACGGCACTGACTTCAGAATCCGGATTTGATATACCAGCGACCTTATGCTGGAGCGACATTCAGGAGAGAGGAAGACTTTGCGTCTATGATGGCTCCTAGATAGAGCAGGTTGCTCTATCAGGGTGCTCTTTTCCCAATGTAAGGAGAATCCATGATTGTGTAGGAACTGGAGTGTGATGCATAAATCCTGCTGTGTCTGCTGAGTGGACGATGATTGGATGAGGATATCATCCAAGTAGCCCTGTATTCTCACGGGTCTTGACCTGAGATCTGCGATGACCACTGCTAGAACCTTGTTCTGGGAGCTGAGAAGAGGCTGAAGGGCAGGGCCTTGTATTAGAAGCGGTGATCTGCATAGCAAAACCTAAGGAATCTTCTGTGCGACGGGCAAATGGGAACATCAAAGTATGCTTCTTTGAGATCTATGGATGTTAAAAGATCTCTCTCTCAGATGCAACCCAAGATGGATTGGATGGATTGCATCTTGAAGCATTTGTATGCAAGGTTGAGTTTCTTTAAGCCTAGGATTGTTATTCACCCTTCCAAATTCTTTGGGACTAGAAAGAGGATGGAGTAAAACCCTAGGCTTTCTTGCCCTGGTGGTACTGGCTCAATTGCCCTGATGTGTAAGAGATGTTGAATTTTGGCTTCTAGAAGGTCTCTTTTGGAGGGACAGCTGGGAGTAGGGCATTGAATGAAACGTCTTGGGGGATTGGAAATGAATAGTAGGGTGAGACCTAACCATACTGTCTGATGGACCCACACGTTCATGGTCATTGTCTCCCATTGATCGGCAAAGACTTTAAATGTCCACCAATGGGAGGGCTGCAAAGGGAGTCACTTACTCCTGTGGTAGGCTCTGCTAGTTGACCTCGAAATGTCCAGGAGTAGGATTGCTGTCTACCCCTGTCTCGAAAGGATTGCCTATCCTGAGGGCAGTCGCCTCCCTGGGTGTATTGGTGCTGAAACTGGGAAGTACAGAAACCTTAGTCCGTGGCCTGAAAGACTGCCTGCGAAAATAAGGCGAGGGCCTATGTTTCGCTTGCCTCTGAGTGAGGGGTAACAGCTTCCTTTTATCTTTGTCCTCCAAGATGGGGTCAAGAAACTCCCCAAAGAGGTTGCCTCAATGCAACAATGTTTTTATAATATAGGTAGGCCTTGAGTTATGACCATTCAATGACTGTTCAAATTTACAAAGGAGCTGAAGGAAGAGATTTATGACCAGACCTTGTAATTTGAAAAGACTTTCTGATAAGTGGTTTGATAATAAAGGAAAACATTTGGGAGTATAGATCCATTTGGGACCAGGATACATGACAGAGAATATTTTTCCTGCTACAGATGTGGCCTATGACTTACACAATCAATCAATGTTAATGACATTTGGAAATATTTCTCTATAAAATACATCCACAAATCTTATATATGAGCCACAGTGGTTAGAAGGCAATTCGGATCTCACCAGCTCAAGATTGACTCAGCCTTCCATCCTTCCGAGGTCGGTAAAATGAGGACCTAGATTGTTGGGGGCAATATGCTGACTCTGTAAACCACTTAGAAAGGGCTGTAAAGCACTCTGAAGTAGTATATAAATCTATGTGCTATTGCTACTGCTATATTAACAAGTAATTTGAAGAAAAATTAAAATTGATATTAAAAAAAATATCAGCCGCAGGTAAGGCTGCCATTAATAGATTAGGGTGGGATGGAGACAAAATATAACCAAAGTCTTTGATTTCCATATTTTTCGAAGTATAAGACGCACTAGAGTATAAGATGCACCAAGATTTTGAAGAGGTAAATTTTAAAAAAAAAGGTTTTTGCACTCTGCAGATCTCCCAAATTTTCTGCATGCCTCATTTTTTTGTGAAAACAAGACATGCAGAGAGTTTGAAAAGCACGCAAAGTGCACATTGGGGCTGGAAAGGGCAAAAATGAGCAAAAAAATGGGCCCGTTTTTGCCAAAAAAAAGGACATGCATAGCATTTAGGAGGCTTGTAGTGTGCTCCTGGGGGCGCGGGGGGCAAAAATGAACAAAAACCAGACCGTTTTTTGCAAAAATGGGCCCGGTATTGCCAAAGAAAATGGCATGCATAGCCTTCAGGAGGCTTGTAGAGTGCTCCTGGGGGCTGACAGGGGGGCAAAAATGAGCAAAAAGCAGCCCATTTTTCACTCGTTTTCTGCCCTCCCCAGTCCACAAGAATACTTTGCAGGCCTCCCAAACCCTCTGCACGTCCATTTTTGTGAAAGGGGCGGGGTCTTAGGAGGCCAAAAATGCTGTATTCATTGTATAAATGAATCTGCACCCAGATTTTCACCCTCTTTTCTAGAGGGAAAAAGTCAGTCTTATATTCCGAAAAATACGGTAATTGAGTGGGAATTCTCATATTCAGCAAAGTCAAATCCAAATTAATGTTACAGCATTATAGAACCAGCTACTAATTCAATGTATATATAGAGAGAATAAAGTCTATTTTTCCATTGAAATGATTCACTGTATCACATTAGATACCATTGTGTCATAAACCTAAAAACATCCATTTAACATTTTATCTAAGAAAAGTTCTGTATCTAGATTTATTTAACAGACAATGGCTGTCTAAGTCTTCAGATAGAAGTCTTGTCCATAATATTATTCCACCCAGATTTTTATATTAGAAAATGCCAATAATTAATTTTAAATCTTATTCAAAAAAACCATGCTCTCATACTGAACTTTATCTCTTCCACTGAATTCTATAAAATTAGGCTAGTTACTTATCCATATGAAGAAAACTGCATATGTAGGTTTCTATCACAAGAATGTGAGACAATAAAGACAGATATAACAATCAGTAGCATATTGTGGAGTGCAGTTTTTCTTACCTTTATGAAAATGTCTACTTCCAACTGAGTCTCTTCAGTGTTAATGAGATACACTCTTACTGTGTTACTCCATAAAGAGTGGGAAAACAAAGGAGTGACTTGCAATAAACTGGCAACAGCTGCATCCCAATCATCTGTAAAGAACAAAGGATAAAGAACATCAAGCCAAACTTTCTCCTCTCATCATTACCAATCACTCATGGAAATTCCATGTCCCGTTCCCACAATTCATCCTTTTCTATTTGTATTAAACTGCTTGGAATTTGCTTCCTCTTCTTCCAATTCAGCTGCCATAACAACATACTGTCACAGCAACTGGGGAAAGTGTTCGCGAAATTGCTGAGATGTTGTCATTTCACGTTCACAGCTCATAGAGGCAAGGGCAACAAGCTTTAGAAAATTTCAGTGCTTTTTTTGACACATTTTCAGTTTATCTTCTGTCACATAATTCCTATTATAGCAGTGATGGCAAAACTTTTTAGCATTGTGTGCCGAAAAGGGAATGCGCATGGGAAATACAGAGTGCCAAAAAGAGAGCATTTCATGCACATGTGCACTTCGCACATATGCACGCTCATATGGGCCGTGACCAAGAAGAAGAACTGGCCTGGGGACATGTGCATGAACTTCCAGTTTGCAGTGTCCGCATGCACAGTGGCCAGCCAGTCTTCCGGTTACTGCCATGCATGCGCACCCACTGATCAGCTGGCCGGCATGCATGCTCACACCAGAAAATGGAAGACCAGCTCTTCCGGTTTCCAGAATTGACGCATGCAAAAGGCCAGCTGATCATCGTATGTGAATGTGTGCCAGAAACCTAGAAAAGGAATAGGCGACACTGCATGTGCCATGACCCTTTGGGCACGTGTGCCAGAGGTTCGTCATCACGATATTATAGCAATCTCAGATATTCTTTTGCAAACATTACAAATAAATGTACATGGGAAAATGCTAGCAATTTCTTTTTTGCGAAGTATGTGAGAGCAAAGGAGATTTTTATTACTTCATAGCCAGAATTAGCTCAGACATTGAGATGCTGATTAGATAGCTTTCATTGCACTCTTCTATTGGTTAGCTGGATCTCTTGGCTCATTTCTCACATTCTCCACACTAAATGCTGCTGCTAAAAAAGTGACAAAAGCTGTATCTTCTAAAAGATTTCCTCTAAAAATGTTTTTTGCTTGTTACATACATGTTATCAAATATTTGCTTTACTTGTAAGAAAATTATTTCCATTTGTGTAAGCACAGCTAAATTTAATAATTATTAGAGCTAAATGCACAGATCAGAATTATTGATCAAAAAACTTGCTATGGCTTATGCTGGGTTGAGATTCCTTTCTATTTATCAAATTTTATTCATTGCAGGTTTAATATTTCATACATATGCCTTAAAACAAAGATCACCTTAAAAGACAAGAGAAGGATGAAAACACATGTGCCAATTATTGACAAAATGATACTATGCTTAAAAAGAAATGAACTTCACACACACACACTACTTTAGAAAGAAAAATAATAATTGAGCACTCATTTAACATATAATAAAAGAAAAACAACTTATGTCAGCAGATTATATTTTAGTTGGCATTGCTAGTCATTTATAAAGAAAGATTTGATCTAATACAGAAAGCAGGTTCATACAATATCAATTCTTCACCAATAGGAAACAGTGATGAAACTCTAAATACCTTTGCAGATGAAGCCCTACATATTTTGAAGTCCAGCTCCACACTCCACAAGTTTTTATCCTAGAACTTTACATTTAGGCTTGGGCTAGTAGGATTTATTGTTGTTACTCTCATTCTTGCTTCAAGGTGCAACAAATGCTTACCTCTACTGACATTGGCAAATGGCCCTTCCACATCTATGGAACTATGCGCAAACTCAGGTCCTCTAAAAGACTGCTGAAGTTGCATCATGCTGCCCATGGAAGGCTCACTTGCCAAGGCTCCTCCCATCCAATATTCTGTCTGAGTCCCAGCAGCTTAAAATGAAGAAAAGAAATGCCAATTCAGTACATTTAATTTAATCAGAAATACAATTATTCTTCAGAAGCAAAAAACAGGAAAGCAAAGGGAGTTTTTTGAAAGGAAACAAATAGAGCTGTAATTAAAGAATATGCTATCAGATTTTGCAGCGATCCAACCAGCACACAAGTACTGTATATACTCGAGTATAAGCCTAGTTTTTCAGCCCACTTTTTGGGCTGAAAAAAGCCGCCTCGGCTTATACTCGAGTCAGTGAAAAATTTGCCCGAAATGGAGGAGAAAAAGGGGCGGGGCCATGCCACTGGGTGACACTCGTGAATGGCCCAGTGCCCCTGTGAGTTTCCCCTCCCTCTGTGTCAGTTTGCCGCGCAGCGCGCACCGCACCATCCCCCCTCCTCACGTTCTAATGTAATGCAGGGCTGTCTTACGATTCCCCTTCCTCCCCCTCCTGCCGCTCTGCAACGATGTCCCACCTCCTCCTTGTTATAGCAAGCAGCCACATAGCGATGTCCCACCTCCTCTGGTACAGTGATCCAATGATAGGAATCACTGTGCCGTGTGTCATAGGAGGCGGGACATCGCTCCCGCGGCTGCACGGGACATCATCACAGCGGGACATCAGCATCATGAGGTGAGTGAAGTATTTCATTGAATACACCGCTAGTTTACTTTTTTTCTTTGAAATAAATATTCAAAAACATTATTGGTATCTATTTTTATTTTTGAAATTTACCGGTAGCTGCTGCATTTCCCACCCTAGGCTTATACTCGAGTCAATAACTTTTCCAGTTTTTTGTGGTAAAATTAGGTGCCTCGGCTTATATTTGGGTCGGCCTATACTCGAGTATATACGGTAACTAATTCAGCAGGATTCATTTATAGAATGAACTTGTTTATATACAATAATATAAAACACAATGCATGTATACAATGCATGTATACAATACCCATGCAGCTCTTGAAATGTGGTAGCAAGTACAAGAACAAGAAACAGAAGTTAGAACCAGAAATCACAGAAGCAATCATCCAAGAACAAACTAACTCTTATATACAGACCAGTTAAGCTAAGCCACACCCAGGCTCCGAGCCTCCCATGCCTCACAACATATCCTGTTTCTTAGTCACAAAACAGTTCCCATTGGCTGACTTGTTATTATGGCTATCCCAGCTTATAATTTCTTATACACTGACACGTCACTGTAAAATGTACTTTGGCTTGAAGGTGCAATATACAAAAATGTTCATCTATTGTAAATATATTATTATGGTGGTGGTGGTGGTAGTTGCAGTTTTCAGAATATTATGAAAAGGGGTAGAAGTCTTATTCTCCTGCCTCAAATATTCTTACTAATCAGGAAATCAGAATAGGATTGAAAACCCTAAACTGGACCAAAGCTGATTAAAATTTAAATGGATGACCAAGTACTTTAGGAAATTCCGGAGTTATGGGCTAGAACTGGTAACTCTACAAATCTTCCTGGACTTTAATGATAACCTACTTTTATATTACTGTCAAGTTTCTTTGTTCAGTTTTCAATCTTTAAAAAAATGATATCGCCAGATCCAAGTACTGCCTTTGCATTAAGAAAATTCAATTGACATGGTATTTTAAAGGGAAAGGAGGGAAGAAGTCACTATTTGAAAATAGGAGAAATTGAAGAATCCTTGTTTAAAACATTAAGAAGTATCAATTCTTAAGGGAGGTTTTAAATTGTATTTTATGGGTCATTCCATGTCAAGTGGTCCAGGGTTCCCCGCTCGACCATCATAGATTTCGATGAAAGTTTGTGTGAACATGCACATACGTCCCCAATGAATATTGGTAAAGTGTTACGTCTGCCAATGCAATACTTGTGGAGATAAAAGTCATTTGTTTGACCCCATACCGCAGCCTTCTACAGTATGACTCTGAGGTTACAGCAACTTTGAGACATAACATCTCCGGCAATGTTTTGTTGAGAGAAACAAAACTTGGCCAACTTGTAAAACTTTTTGTGCTCTATTAAACAAAATAATAAAAAAATCTCATCAGCAATCTCCATCGAGATAATTTAGGGCAAAGTTGGCTGAAAATGACTGTGGCTCGAAAAAAGGTTAAAGTTTGGCTTTTTATATCTCTGGAAGGAAGGGTATGTGAAACGTGAAACTTTGTGTGTAATAACTTAGCAATACAAAGTTTTCAAACACAAAATTTCATTCCCCTACTGCTTTCTAATAGTTCACAAATGTAAAGTGTAAAGTGAGTGTAAAGTTGACAGTTTTTGTAAAAATGCCAAAAATAGAGTATTTTCAGCATGATTTTACAAAAAAGGACCTCCTGGAAAGTCTTAAATCACTCTAATTAGAAAGAGCATGTTTCAAACGCCCTAAAAGTATATTTGTTTTTCATTGCTGACTATAAAGCCCTAAAAATAGGGACAAAGGTGAGGATGTTGCTATGGCAATGTCACATACATTCTATTATTGTTTTGTCTTGTTTGTTTTATATAGACATCATTACTACTATTATATTGCATGACATTGCAACTACCAATTCAGGCACTTGACCCAGCAAATTTTTGGGAGGATTAAGCAATAATCAATTTAGCTATTGTTATTGCTTAGAAGTTATTTTGATTTTTTAACAAAATATTGACAAAGCATTTTTGGCTGTTTCACTGTATACTGCACAGATTTATAAATCATATCTAGGCAACTGGTAAATACAACATCATTCATACCAGTAATTTCTGTACAGCTGTCATCTGAATCTGATTCTTCAGGATCAACTATTTGGATACCCTGAGCTTGCAACCTCTGAAGTTTTGCTTCAAGCTCTCGCTTGGCCCTCAGTAGATCCTGAATTTCATTTTCTTTGGTTTCTCTGAAAATCTATAAATGAAAAAAGTGTATTTTAAAACATTTTTCATATTTCATTCTATGCATAAAATTAATATATTTTTTCAGTTAAGAGTTTAGCCTTTCCACCCTAAGTCTTAAGCAACATAATTACCTATCAACTTGTGTAGATAAAGATGAAATATCTAGAAACAAGTGGAACTTGCAATCATTGTAAATATAAAATGATCCTTTTATTCAAGGTTACAAGCTATCAGTCCTGATTTCTAAGATAGTTCCATACATACTATGTGTCCTTTCCTAGGCTGTTCAAGAAGCGGAATTCCATCATTAACAGTTTTACTTCTAAAAAATATTTATACTTAAGCAAAGCTTAGGGCTCTCTGAAACATACTCATTTATCTTGCAAAGCCAATAAATTAATTATTTACTTTGAACTGCCTCCTGACTTTGTCCCGATCATGTTCAAATGTAGCTGCTCTTTCCATAGCTTGATATTTGGACTCTACAGCACTTTCCTTTTCTCTGAGGATTTTCTGATATGTTTTCTGAAGTGCCTGGGGGGAGGAAAAGGTGACAGGGTGAACCCTTGGTCTGAAAATTTTCATTTATTCACTCTATTAATTTGTTGGATATCAGAAAGTTCTTCCTAAATGTAATTTGAATACATTTGATCTTTTAATCCAGTGTTTAAATGACATTACAGATACAGCTCATCTACAACTTTTAGTATCCCTATTAGCTATTCTGGATGAGTCTGGTAATAATATATAGCAATATAAAGGTGGCCAGAGATTTTTATTTTAACAGAAAGCTTCTTTTTGTCAATCCTGGTGCCAATGCCCCATGCAGATACCTGAAGCTCTGCCCTCAAGCGTTTGTTTTCTTTGTCCAGCTTGGCTTCTTTCTTCATCATGGCAGCCACTTCATTGTTCTTGCTAATGCGAAATATCTCGTATTCTTTTTTCAGGCGTTCATACTCTGCCATGCATTCCAACTCTTGTACAGACGCAGTAGACTTGAAGCTTGCGCCAATGAGGCCTCCAGGCCGGGATGCACCTACCCGTCGAAAAGAACTACGCAGAAGACGGGCCTTGGGCTTTACTTCAACAGGAATTTCGCAGGCCTCACCACCCCCTCCCTCATATGGATCTTCAATCACCTCCCCAACAGTGACCATTGGATTAACCAAAGATGAAGCAGATCCCATAGCTGAAAAACCTCTCTTATGCACACGCTTTTTAAAATGGCAGATTCTAACTATCTCCAGATCCTAGTAGATGTTGACTTTCTTTAATGCCTAACTACTGCTCAACACTTAGGCCTAGGATATTTCCCCAAATGACTTTCTTTCCTCTTGTCTAGTTATCCATAAATGGATGCTTTTGCTCCAACCAGACTTCTGGTTTTTAGATCGGAAAATATTTAAATTTATGTGTGCAAAGTAGTAATATTTCCCCAAGTCTAATTTAAAAATAGATTATTCTTTTTAAGCTATGTAATTAAGGGCAGAGTGCTGCACATAATACATATTTCATTGACAAGGCTGTTACTACTACTAGATTCAATATTCATTAACATTGGTAACAATTCTCTGTAATTATAGTGAAGAAAATGTTCCTGTTGTCCTGTTATTGGGAATAGTTTCGTGCTGGTTGTCCATAAGAGACAGTGGTTTAGCCTGCCAACTTTCCACACATTTCCTTGGAAGTAAAACTGACTGAATCCTTATGTGCTGAGCTGGGATTTCTGTCTTAAAGCAAACTACCCAGGCACAAATATTTACAGTATGGTCGTTAAAGGGCTGCTGTAAATATTCTTCCTGTCGTTTTCCCAATAACAAGCAAAGTTACCTCGGTCACCAATAGTTCATACCAATATGCGCTGTTATTTCCCATGCTATCCCTTGCTCATTTGGATCAGAAAAATGGAAGAATCAAAAAAGAAGGAAACGTTTTCCATGCAAATGAAGGACCAATGTAGAGAGTTTTACTCCGGAGATTCCCAGAAGAATCCCTTAACTTTCCATAAATTAAGGGAGCAATGGGAAAACAGTCAACCAGCCAAGCAACTTGCTCGCTCTGTCGCTCGTGGCTCCTCGCTCGCACTTCGGCCTCCTTCGGATGATCCGCAGCCCAGGCGCTGCTGCAAGGGAAAATCTTCGCCTATGGGTTGCGCAACCAAAGAGGAAGTAGGCAGTGACGTGGCAGCTTTGTCCCAGGCAGTTGCGTAGAGCTGAGGGGCTGTTGTGGGAAGAAAAGAGACGTGCCAACTTTCGTTGTCCTTTCGTGACGTTCCACAACTCAGGTTCTCTCCGAAAGAGAAGGTGTCCTCTGAGCACTTGCGGGAAAGGATTGGGCGGGCCCTGGGCCGCCGGATTCTCCAACCTGGCTCCTCCTCGGGATGTGTTGGAACACAACGCTTATCAGTCTGCAGTTGAAGCCCGGCCATTCTAACATAAGATGATATAAGTTGTACAATAGCCTGCGTTTTTCGAGGGCGCTGGTTGACGAAGGTGCTTTTCTCGACGACACTGTCGGTGAAGAATCTTTTCCACTTCAGACTGCAGGAGGAGAGGAAAGGAAAGGTTTCTAAAACAAAGGAAAAGCCGAGTCACACAATGAATTTTGCATTGGACTGGAGAAAGCCTGTATCATTTTAAGTTACAGCATTTTTTTTAATTTCAGGAAGACAACCTGAACAGATTTAAAAGTACTATGTTTTATGAAAAAAGTATGCAAAATTCCTCTAGTTTCAATGGAAGAGGACACGAGAAAGTAACAGAAGTATCGAGCGCGATGTGAGACAAAAGCTATTTTTATCGTTGCAGAAAATGTTTTAGATAGCTAATGCAAAATATAGCTAAATCCCAGGAGCAAAAATCCATTTGGAATTTATAGGCTAAAATAGGTTCCCATTCTCATATATGTCTGAGATGTTTTTGCGTTCCAAAAAACTAGCTAAATCCGACCCAATATATAATCCCAATATCTAGATTGATTGTGCATTGTCTTCAGTTGGAATGAAAATAAGTCATATTAGAAATTGTAAGGTTCCAGCAGTTTCCCTGAGCCATTGAAATACTAAAGAGAGACTCCAGGCGAGGCTTGCAAAAAAAATCAGCTTTTATTTATGGCCTTAGCAAAAGCTGGGTGGTAAAACTATATCCAAAACATACAAACAAATGCATGTAAGGAATAGCCAGCCCCTGCAAGAGTGGCTCAGAGTACATACATTTTAGGCAGATAGAAACAAAGTTTATCCAGTCAGAGACAAAGATTCATTACCATTGTGATCTTTAAAGCATTCTTTTGTCAAGCTCCTGTCTCTGTCTACCTTATCTATGGAATATTCCGATAGCCTTGTGTGGCAACCCCCTTTGTCAAGTTGTTTTTTGGGCAGAAGGTTTTAAGTATTTATGAGCCAGGAAAACTCCCTAGTTTGGTTCCTTTATCTATGGGGCTTTATATTCACGTGTAACAATTTCTTCTATGTTTTCAAGAATATCCCTAGCTTTGAAGCCAATAATAGAAGCGAGCACAGCAGTGAGATAACATTTGCAGTCCAGTATTAAGGTTACAATTTGCTAGGCTAGAAAACAACTAATTTCTGACAGTGTACAATAATATAAGCAGAAGCCAATATAGATTCATATTGATTCATATACTCCTCCAAAATGAAAAAACTTTTGACTATTCTTTCACAATTCAGCTAGCAAATGTAAATCGTCAACAATTAGTTAATTATATCCTTTTTGTTTGTTTGTTTGTTTGTTTGTTTGTTTATTGGATTTATATGCTGCCCTTCTCCCAAAGGACTCAGGGCGGCGTACAATATTTAAAAAAAACCACAT